TGTGGAAAGTGCCAGGAGGCAACGTCGTAAACGTGATCGCGAGGATGGTCGCGTGCCGGCCGCGTCTGTGGATGGAACGCCAGGCTTGCCGAAAATATTCTCTCTTAGAAAAACCAATCGTCCGGAAACGAGCCGATAGCTCGAAGGTCGAAGGGCAAATGGTCGGAATGGCCGGCGGGCGGAAAACGGGCAAAAAGGCGGCGATGAAAGGACTCGAGAGGAATGCGGCGGACAGCGAACCAGAGAGAGACCGCTGCCGGAGAACCTAATTGATATGAGCAGATAAGAGTCGCGTCGGATAAGAACGAGACGTGAATACAGAGACCCTCTCGCAAAATTCCACGCAATTCCACTCTTGTCGGCGAAACCTTTCAACTTCGCCAGACTATTTCTTCCGGTGTGTCATTCAGCATCATCGACAGTATCGTGGAATTCCATTAAATCAACTGGAACTTTGCTAACCGATGACGTCATGCAATCTATGGAGGAATTTTCGTTGAATTATATTCAGAATTAAAATATAATATCTATAAAATAATTTTAATTATATTCATATGAGAGTTTTAGCTTGTTTCTCTCAGCTGGAATAATTAACACTATTGCTATTTGTTTTCTACGCATATTTAATATCTGATTGTGAGATAAATAGATGTTATATATGTGATTTAATATAATTTTTTGATTCAAAAATTTATAAAATATTAAACATGTGAAAGGAAAAATCGGAGAATTTATATAAGTGTAATATGAGCAATATCCTTATAGCATTTAAAAGTAAAAATAAACCAGATAAAGAGGATTAAATCCTGGGTGCACCCTCATCTATTTACGCCTGTGTTTACCGTTTTACCCGAAAGTGTGCAGAAGATAAGGTACCAGGGCCATAAATTGCGTGTGTTCAATCCAGGAGAGGGTAGGAGAATAAACGTTCACGAAGCGAGGGAACAAAGGATGAAGGAAGAGGAGAGAAAGGACATGGTCGGCGCTTCGCGGCGAATTTCTTCGCGGATTAATATTTGCGGCGGCGGCTGCGGGCGACGGCTTCGTGCGAGGAGAAAAGGAAGGTCCCTCCGCCAAGAAGATAGGACAAATAACGAACGCGACGTCGGGGACAAATGGGGAAGATCCGTCCTCGGACTAACCGCGGTTACACGATACCTTGAATCGTTGGTGTTCTTAAAGGGGAAAAAAAGCTATTTCTTCTGAAAGAGCACGATTTCATCCGCGAATTGAGGGGAACTTTCCCGCAGATAAGATTTCGGGATGAAGATCGAGAATAATGCGCGAAATAATTCGCGATAAAAATGACTTTTTGTAAAGATATAGAGAGTTTATACTTCCTTAAAGTCTTCCTGCTAAATTTCGAAAATCTTTACGAAAGAGAACGGCAAGGGGAGTTATCGCAAACGTTCATTGTGGAAAGCCAATGATGACACATCGATCAGATATGTCGATCTTTTCCACTCTTGACAAGTGTATCTTTTAATAAATCGCGATATCCGAATTCTTTCCACAGTGCACATTTCCGGGATACCTGTCATCCCCCCCGTCAAGTATGTTTCATTAAAAGTGGCGGATTTAGGTGGGTCGTGTCCTCAAGCTTGGCAGATATTTAACCGCAACGTCGATGTCGAAATGTCGCGATAATATATCGAAAAAGATTGTGTCTTGTGCGGGAGGATCAGCAATAAATATTCAGAATTTAAAATTAATAAGTAAAATTCCAAGCGCAAAAGAAATATTTATATTTCTCCTCCTGTCTTAAAATAATCTGATTATTCTTCAATTCTAAACAAGTATTTTTATTGTTATTTGATTATTATATCTCCGGCAAAAAAGTGGACATTTGATTTTTAAATTAATACTCCTCTTGGGAGACAATTATCATAAACTTTAAAAATGAATGGAGAAAATTATAAATTCATAGGACGATTTAGATGCCATTCAACGATCGAGGTCCTAAGGGACCACTCTCTGTAAAACCGTCCCTATCGGCGAGTGTCCGCCACTATGGAAGGTCAAACCGTATGAACGTCCGCGGGATACGTAACCAGGATCGGGCGGGAAATGAAAGCAGGAAGGAGACAGCAAATTGACCGACCCTTTTCCGCTTGCTCCTTTTGTTTTGTCTTTGACATACGCTCTCCGCTAGTGTCCGATTCTCCGTTTTCCGGGAGAGGGAAGTCGAATCCATTCGGGCGTGAGGGATGCGACTGACAGCTAGAATTGTTATATCTCTCGGTGGACCCCGAACGGACGCGGCCGCTCGTAGTTCATCGATCTTCGATCGGCCTCGACATCGTCGCCGTCGACGCGCGATGAATTGGTTGCTTCGTTAAAATTAATCAAGCAAAGCGTCGCGATTGCCCTTGCCTATCGTAACAGTTCGCGGTATGTATCATTTGGATATGCATGTCGTCGAATATACGGAATATCCTGTGTGGCAGGACTCTCTGTTTGGATTTGCGGCCGATAGAATCTCAATAAGAAGAAAAAAATTGCAAAATTATAAAATTCGTCATCGCATGATTTATTGAATCGAAATTTTACAAACGTGCAAGATGCATTTTTAGCATTCAAGTAAAATTGACATTAAGAAAGTGTTTCATCCTACCTATTGTTACGTCTCTTATAATATACATATATATCTTATAATATAATATAATATCTTAATATATATTTATATCATTCTACAAATTAAGAATATCAATTTTGTATATTATATTATAATTATATATTATATATAATTATTATAATTATATATTAATAATTAATATAAACGTGAAAAGGAAGAACTTCAATGAATATTATTACGACGTAGCTTCTATTTGAAAATCTTTTGTTAAGTTCTGTACGTTTGTCCGTATTAAAACAATGAAGCTATTATATATTATTATTACATTTTCTGATAAATTATACAATATCGATTATTTCGCTATTTGCGTTATTAAACAAATTCGCACATTAAACAAATTAAACAAAGAATTACATAAATGTATGTAAATACTACATGAATGGAAATACTACATTAAATTATATATATAGATACGAATTTTCTGTGATGTTTTTTTTAAAGAGACTTTTCAATCTCTGATATTGAATCTCTAACGAAAAAAAATCTCATTTTATAGGAAACTCTTGTCGACGTTTTTGATATACATACAATAAAGCGTGCAGCAGTCAGTGATTTGCCGCAGGGCTCGCTTCCTTTAGTCTTCGACTTTAACCGTGCAGCATACACGTATGTACACACAATTCAGTTCTCATCTCAAATTCTCTAACAAATGAGTTTTTTATCGAATTTTCGCTCGACCGAATCAAGCGAGAACACCTTCTCGCGTTCTCGTTTATATCAGAAACTTATGTACAAGCCGCGCACCAAGTGTGGAGACTCATTCAAACTCTTGTGCTACACCATCCGTCTTTCCGACGACCGGAGACATGGAGAACACACATACGAAACACCGATCTTGACGGTGGATTTAGACCTCACAACTTTGCCCTCCGATCTTACTTCTATTTTAATTAAAGTGTCACGTCGACATCTACCCGTCGCCAGATAAGACCCTCACCAAAAGCAGGGTACTAATTAGACTTGATAAGAGCGACAGGACTATTGAGAGAGAATCTAATATCTCATTGCGAATTTGGTCCGCGAATATGATTATGATCTTTAGGGTATAAAGTGATATGCAATATAATACATACTTTGAGAGAAATAATTTTTTTATTCTTCTTTTTAATTTAAAAATATACATTTTATTTACATATTATAGTAAACACATTAGAGTAAAAATGTTTCTCGAGATAGCCGTATATTAATAAAATAAAAAAGATACGGATTCAGTTATTTTATTATTATGCATAACAATGCATAGCAATTAACATCATAACACTTTTATACATATGTATATATATACACGCAATCTTTTATTTCGAAAGATTAAAGAAATGCATCACATTTAATTATCAGAGTCCGGATCCGTTTTCCAGTTCGCCGCAAAAAGCAATATCGTCTATGTCATGCATTAGATCCAATGTAGCAAAAAGGGCATAGAATACATATATATATATAAAATATAGAAATATATGATTATATATATAATAAAACATATACGGATTATAATTATAATAAAGTGTATACAGGGTGATTCAGAACTCATGATACAAACTTTAAGGGGTGGTAGAGCACGCTTTAATAATCATTTTTTGTATAGAAATACATGGGCGCAAGTGAGGCACAAACACAGGAAATAGACATGAATGAAAAGATAAATTGTTTACTTACAGCGTCGTTAACAAGTGCTTTTTTTTATAGCAATGTTTACAATAATTCCTCAAAATTGTTCACCAACAGTAATACATGCTTGGCAGCGTCGATGGAGTGATTGGCGTACAATTTCAAAGATGCCAGATATTTCTCGCACACGTGCAGCCGCAATTGGATATTCGAGCGACGAGGTCCTCCACAGAGTCAACTGGATTCTTATAAACGAAGATCTTCAGATGTCCCCATAAGAAGTACATTGCTATAAAAAAGCACTTGTCAACGACACTGTAAGTAAACAATTTATCTTTTCTTTCATGTCTATTTCCTATGTTTATGGCTCAACGCGTCACTTGCCCCCATACATTCCTATACAAAAAATGATTGTTAGAGTGTGCTCTACCATCCCTTAAAGTTTGTACCATGAGAAAACTGTATATACATACACATACATACATACATTATATATACATATATATAATGTATATACGTATAAATAATGTATGTATGTATATGTATATACAGTTTTCCTGTATAATTTATATATATATATATATATATATATATATATATATGAATATAAATATAAATATATATATATATATATATATATATATATATATATATGTATATTTATATATGTATATGTATGTATATATATATACAGTTTTTATTATATAACCGTATATATATTTTATTATATATATAATCATATATTTCTATATTATTTTATAGTATTCTATGCGACGGTGCTCTCTTTGCTTAAATCACTGGACATTAGATTACTACAAACGCATGCTAGCGGCCAAGCGTCACGAAAGGCAGTACGGTGCGGCGGCCGGCCGCTAGCATACACTTGGAGTGGGAAAATGGCACCGAAATCGGTATTCTGTTAATTACATTATTTTAAAACCGTTAATTGTGTGTACATAATCATTATTTACATAATGATTAAGAATTTGTATGCTTTAGCATATTGTCGAGTTCTCGTAAAAGCTCTCTCATGTGTTTTATGAAAGTTATTCCAGATATCGTATCTGGTCGCAAAGTTCGTGCATAGCATTGCTTGTACAGATTTGCAAGCGTCTGGTTCCTGAAATTTAATTGAAAAAAAGTGTTAAAAATATGCTAAATGCTATATAATATTCTATATACTATATAATAAGTTAAAATATGTTTTATCAAAACTTAAAAATCTTCACTTAATCTTTGAGAAACCGCATAATAAATTTAAAAGCAACGTACTCTTTTTTATTGTACGTGGGACTTTTGAAAAACAGTTGATTTAACGATCGTAGAAGAAATTGTAATCTCTGTTCTAGCAGAATAATGAGATTCTCCTCTACTTGATTCTCATCCAATGGATTCTCGTCCACTGGTTTTTGTTCTTGAGTCATTTTTTTACATTCCGCGCTATCATTTTCTATTTTATTATCGATTTTGTTATCGATCGTTTCTTCCAGCTTTTGTCTCGTCGCGTTATTTCGTTCATATAATATTTCCATGATAGGTATACATTGTAAAATTAAATCCAAGCCGGTTTGATACGCTTTTAGCTTGCTATTGAAGGTTGTACCGTCTGAAAAGATTAAATTTATGTAAAATCTTGTAATATGAAAATTAAATGACAGAAAAAATAATAGTTTTCAGAGAAAAATGACATACTACGTGCTTGATATTCCGCCAGAGCGACTCTTTCCATTTGTATCGTCAAATATTCCGTAGTTTGTTCCAATGAGAGTTGCAATTTGGCCGCTTTCTCGTAGTATAATTTAGATAATTGTAAGGTAGTTCTTTTCTTGTTATTATCCACATCCGAGTCGAATTTTCTATACATGTTATGATAAAACGAAGCTAATCGATGCTGAATAATTGCAGCGCGGAATTGATAAACTGGTTGTCGTGGTCCGGGAGTATCCACATCGCAATGCTTGAGTGCCTTCTGAAGAGTATCGACCACTTCCCTCTCTAATTCTTCAGCCTGTAACAAGAATAATTTATTAATTCATCTATCTATAAATTCATTAGTTTCTTATTCAGTTTCGACAAGAAAAATGTTACTGCACTTTATATTCAGCAATAGGATAATCTTGTAATAGTGAAGCCATCGTGAATAACGTTGTCGATAAGTCCCACATCACATTGTCCCATATGGTTGAATTTGTTTTTCTATCACCGAGAACTTGTAGAGCCTTCTGATAACTTGCGAGAGCCTTGTTATAAAAGTGACGCTCTTGCACAGTCTGTTTGTCGTGTATATGCGCGCAGACTCGCATGAGCCGTCCTGTGTTTGAATGCAAAAGCGCCAGATTCGTTTCATCATGGATTTCATGAAAGGCCGTAATTCCGGATTCTAAGTGAGTTGATGAACGTGTTAGAAGCTCGGTTACGTCCGTATTCGACAAATTGTTTGTTTGAGTGCCTTGAAATCGAGCTACAAAGAATTATGGTTTTTCGATTAATGAACATTTGCTCTAATGAACATTTGTTCTTTATTAAAATAATGAACATTTGTTCTTTATTAAAATAATGAACTAATGAATATTTGTTCTTTACTAAAATTATACGTGAAAATTATACGTACATCCTGCTTGATTCATATAAAGAACACCCAACTCGTTATGAATGTTTCCTATTCGTTTCAACAAGTTTCTTCTATCCACATCCATGAGTTCTAATGACAAAGCCTTGTCATAACATTTATACGAAGAAAGTAAGATAGATTCTAAGTTTTCAAGTTCCTTCGGTAATAATTCAGCACCGTCTGTAATAAAATATGCACTTCAATAACAATTATTTATATTATCCTTATTATACATATAATATTGCCATTTCAATATTTACTCATATCTAAGTCTTCCATACTAAACACATCTTCGACTATTTTCTCTTCCATTTCATTTTTTATATCGTAATCCTTTCTATGCTTTTCCACATTGCTCCAATCTTGCACTATCATAAAGCAACAGTCTCCCGCCCGACCTAATAGATAACTGATTGATTTGTCGTTTCTCACGCCGCAGAAAATTTCTAATATTTTCTGACAATACAATACTTTCAACATATATCTCAGAGAAGCGCCGTAATTTTTATTTACATATTCATTCTCGGCAAGTACGGCAAATATTAATGATGCTTTTTCGTATAACAAAGTTTTCAAATGAGCGCTCCAGCAAATATTATCGCTTTTTTTTGGGGCTTGCCATGTGGGTATTGTTTCCGCCTTAAGTTTACATAATAAAGCATTTTCATTCGCTATTTCTTTCGTAACATTTTTCTCATTTTTCTTCTTTTTTTGTTTATTTCTCTTTTTATGCGCAGGACTATGATTTTCCAAATTTTTTTTCGACATAACACTCGTATCTTGTTTATTTAACGGTGTGTAAGGCATAGGAATCGCCTGAAAAGGTTTCGCTACATTAGGATGCATTTCCTCATATTTCCGTTTCTCTTTTTCGCGTTCTTCCGCTTTCTTTTGTTCTTCGTCGGTGTTGTCTTCAATCGGAAAATATCGAAGACAATCGAGTCCATGAGTAACGTGTTCTAATCCAAATAAACATCTTTCTTCTATCGTACCAGAAATCGGCAGAGCTTTATATTTTGGTTGCTCGCGTTCCGTTTGTTCCTTTACTGCAAAAATAATCAATGATAATTTATACAAAATTTTTAAAAGAACAGGAGATTAAAGATACCTGGATTAAAGATTTACTTACTGTACGCTAGAGTTAAAGATTTGATTGCTGCGCAAATTTTCTCTTCTTCTACTTTCTCCTTTTCGTTATTCATGCTACATTCGCTATGAGCGTCTTCGTCATCGCTTTGATCCGATAATCCTGGGCTGGCGGGATCGGTGTCTGATGGTATATACAAATCCGAAAGCATAAAATGCGCGGATGTAACGATTTGCGGATATTTTTCTTTGGCTAATAGTTGAATACAATTCTTCAACAGCATTCTAATTGTTCCTTGATGGCGATGATAATCAGAGGAATACTTCATGTTACGAGCTACTCTGTACAACAACATTGCAACAGGTACGGTGAAAGGATTTTGTCCTTTCTCTTCTGAAACGTCACTGCACAGTGATGTCAAATCATATAGCTTCACAACATCGTCGTCTTCACCTAAAAAAATTGTATATAATAGAATATTCAAAAGTCAAAGCAAAGTTTAAAAATTTACATGTATATTTTAAGCTTAATATTTACCCTTGAATAACCAATAGGTATGACCAGCCTTTGTAGCATTATTTTTTAGGAAACTTAGGATATTTTGCGCTACATCTCTAATTAATTTAGCACTAAACTTGGAGTCATCCAAGTTTGGAAGATCCTCTGTCTTTATCAATTCATATTTCTGTACAATACCATCTAAATGGTAACACATTACTACTTCTGGAACATTACACATTAAATTATCTAACCAGTAGTCTATTCCTGTTAAAACATTAATTGGTTTTGACATATCTCTTAATCGTAGACTTATACATGGATGCGTCTGACCACCAAATATTGGCATGTCTGTTCCAATAAGCATCTGTATATTTTCGAATGTCCACACAACATTTCTTGCGAAATTGTGATTATAATTTGGATCAGGTACTTTTTCTTCTTGCGTTGGTTCAGGTAAACATGGTTCTAATGTTTCCACAGGTAACTGTGGTTTCTCATTCTGTTTGTCATTATCCGCAAGTACTATAGAATGATAGAGAAACTTGGACACTAAATTTCTCTGTTGCAAACTATTTCTACTATATGCCTTGTGGAAAAAGCGTTTTTCCTTGTCGCCCAGATTTTGAAAAATATGTTCATAAAAGAATTTTTTTAACCATTCCCAATCACTCTCAGCCTGTCTTAGTAGATACTTGTGTATATCAAAGTCATCCAATAGCAATGTATTTTCAATGCGATGTACCATCATTGAAATCACACCACGATTATAAGGAAGTTTTAGTAATTTCTTTATATTTTCTGCATCCGATACTACATCCACTTCGCCAACACAATCAGGAAACATGTGTGCCATGCGAAAACTGGAGAATCCTGTACTTTGAGACCAAACATTCTGCAGACCGTAACTTTCTGCTGAACTGCTGAGCCAGTTACTGGGTGGAAGATTCAAATCCGTATTACACTGTAATTGAGCATATGTCGCTGGTGTTTGAACCGCAGAATATTTTACCACTGCAGTGGATTTTACAGGTTTTTTTGGAGAGTCTGGTGGGGTAGCTAAGGCTATTGATCTCATCTGTAATGTGTAAATCAAATAATTTTTTTTATTTCCCTTTATTTAGTTTTATTACAATGAAAAATCTTAATAATTAATATGTAATATTTTTTATAATGAAAAAATGTTTTATTACTGAAATATAAAACACCTCCATAGACATGCACATCAATTAGAATAATATATGAGATATAACAAATAAAATGTTTTTCATAAAAGATTTATCAAGAGAATCAAACAATATTTATTATTAATAAACTTACCGCATCCGCATTATCAATATCCGAATTTTTTGACATTTTTGTGTACTGTTTTTCGAACACTTTTTTCCAAAATATTCACTGTCCGAAGATTTCTAGAAAGACCGAGAATCCGAAAACAGTTTTTGTGTGCACAGCATGCACAGCTCCAGCAATATAAATAATACAAACCATGAACCATGTTTTGCATAACTATATTGCTATAGTCGAACACTAAATTATCGACTATTGAATTACCAACTTTCTATATTATCATATTGAGATAACAGAAATTTCAAGAGTGCCTATATTCCATTATTATATACATACATATACATATATGTATATACATGGCAGTTTTCATATACGTATGAAAAAGTTTTATTAAATTGATGTAATATGATTTATATTAAAATTGATTGTGTAATATAAAAAAAATATAAGATTTATACTTTTTTTAATAGCATTAAAAAAAGTATAAATGTTTTTCCCATATCTTTTAATTTTTGAATGATTGGTTTCATTTTATAAATAATATTTATTCTGATTGTTTTTATTTTATAATTTATCTGATTTGTTTTGATTGTTTTTATTTTGTAAATAATTTATTCTGATTTATTCTGTATAATTTTAAATTTGTATTATATTTTTAATTAGATACATTTAGTATTTTATTTTATATATTTATTTTTGCAGATAAAATTCTGTAAATAACAATATTTTTTATTTTTAAATAAATGAGAGAAATTCGCTTTGCAAGCGAATGATAAAAATGCAATTCTTATATAGTATATAAAATTTTTAATGAATACATATTATAAAATGCTTTGTTAAGAAATTATTATTGTTATTGTTATTATTATTATTGTTTTGTTATTATTATTATTATTATTGTTATTACTTTCAACATTAAAACGAAGCCCAAAAAAGAAGTTCAAAGATCAAACGAGTAAGTCAAAGTCACACGAAAGCTACACTTATAAAAAATAATATTATATTATATAAGGACATATGCTCTGATAGGACCAGTCTGTTTTCTTGCAACGCAATAATATTCTGAAAATTAAATTATGAGCGAAAAAAGTGAATGACAGTACTCGCGTCATAAATAATCCATACCACGTAAGTCTCTCAAAAACACAGAAAGTTATCTAAACGCTGCTTCATCCGCGTCGCTAAACGCCTTAAGAAACCTTAGAAGTCGATCACGTGTCATAGTAACCACCCGGTATATAAGTCCTCGATTTAAGACTCGACGATCCAGTCATCTTCTGTGCAAACAAGATAGAGAAAAAAATATATTTTCACCATGGTGGCGAATTTCAAGGTCTACAAAAAATGTTCGCCCAACGGCAAGCTCGCTGTCTATCTCGGCAAACGCGACTTCATCGATTATCTGTCAGGTACCGAGCCGATCGACGGAGTGGTCTTGGTCGATCAGGATTACGTAGACAGTGGCAGGAAGGTGTGGTGCCAACTCTTATGCAGCTTCCGGTATGGCCGCGAGGAGGATGAGGTGATGGGCCTCAATTTTCAGAAGGATCTCTATCTGGCCTCGGAGCAAATCTTCCCACAAGTTAAGAAGCCCGAGTCCAATCCTACCAAGTTGCAGGACAGGTCAGGATGATATTCTTAGACTAGAATACAAGTTAAACTTTGAGAAATTTTGTTATACAATCAATTATACATGGTATACATTAAAAATCACGTCGAAATCCAGCAACATTTAATGATATATAAAAAGACTAATCTTTGAGGTGGTTCTTAAATTCTGCATGTGCTATTTATTCAGTGTAAAATGAAGTAAACTATAAAGTAAATTAGCGAATTAAAAAATTGAGGTATATCTTTGAAACGCACAGATTGCTGAGGAAACTGGGCACCAACGCGATACCGTTTAACTTCACGTTCCCGCAATGCGCACCGTCCAGCGTGACCCTTCAGCAGGGACCCGACGAAATCGGCGAACCCTGCGGCGTCAGCTACTACGTGAAGGTGTATTGCGGCGAAACGGAGACCGACCTGACCCATAAGCGCAGCACCATCATGATGGGCATCCGCAAGATCCAATACGCGCCGACGAAGGAAGGTCGTCAACCGTGCACCGTGGTACGCAAGGACTTTCTGATGAGCCCAGGCGAACTGGAGCTCGAAGTTACCCTGGACAAGCAGTTGTACAAACACGGCGAGCCGATCGCCGTCAACATATGCGTGCGCAACAACAGCAACAAGGTGGTGAAGAAGATCAAGACGCTGGTGCAACAAGGCATCGACGTGGTCATCTTCCAGAACGGTCAGTTCCGGACGGTGATAGACGCGGTGGAGACGCAGGATGGCTGTCCGATCAATCCCGGCTCGACCCTGCAGAAGGTGCTTTATCTAAAGCCCGAGCTGGGGAACAATAAAAACCGTCGCGGTATCGCTTTGGATGGCATGATAAAACGGGAAGAGAGCGAACTCGCACCCAGTACCTTGCTCACCTCGCCGGATGTACGCGACACTTTCGGCATCGTCGTGTCCTATGCCATCAAGGTGAAGTTATACTTGGGCGCTCTAGGTGGAGAGTTGACAGCCGAGCTGCCGTTCATCCTGATGAGATCCAAGCCGTCCGATCGGATTAAACTGGTCCCGACAGATAGTGTGATGATCGAAGACATCCCGCATGAGAAAGTCGGCTAGAAAATCAGCTCCTAGATTCCTCTTTTGCTCCTAGATCTTTGCAGGCTTTCATTTCGATTCGCTTCTAATTTTTTAGGTTTAAATAGATTCAGACGTGTGATGAAAACATTCTCAGAACATTCAAAAGGTTGTAAACTGTAAGATAAGTCTCTTATATGTTACACGTTCTGTAGATATTCTTTAGAAATTGTCTGGGCTGTTATTTTGCAAAGGTCTCCTTCACATCTTTTATTATAATAATAAATATAAATATATCACACACACACACACGTATGTAAAAATAATGCAAGGAATATTTATTAATTGCTTTACAATAGATGTATAAAAATATTGACTCAATTAATTTGCTGATATTTTTAAAAATTACATAGCATCAATACTTATTTATATGTAATAATTTAGGGAATAATTTGTATTACGTATATTAATTATTTTGATATGGATATGAAATAGTAATAAGCTTTACCCAGAATTACATGTAACAAAATCCACTAATCACCCCCCCCCCCATAATCTACTATTAAATGTTTATCTCAAAATTTTCAAAGCTTGCAAATGTAATTACATTACTCGTTTTATTAAATTAAACATCCCACGGGTGGAACGATTGTATATACTTGAAAGAAAATCAATAAAGGGGAGTTATGAAACGTATTTGACGCAAACAATATTTTGACAAGTCATCCTTGTATGTGTTATCTAGGGGTTAGAAAAAAAACGATCTTTGTTATTCCCTGAACATAAACACTGTTCACATTCCGTACGTTAATTTAGAAAACCTCCTCGTCCTAAACCCGTTATTTATTATCAGTATCATTCATATATGACAAATAGAAAGCGCGCCGATACATACAATCTCTCAGCTGGAACAATTCGTGGGACCCCATGAGAAACCGCAACGCTCGTTTGCGTGCGCTCCGCCACATACGGGGTGTCGATCTAATTCCCGACTTCCTGCCGAGAAGCGTCCGAGGCGAAAGAAAACCACCCGATATGTGCGATGGACATCGGTGGAATCGAGAAGGAAGGGATAGAGAGAACGAGAAAGAGAGAGAGATACGAACAACGTCGTCGAGATTGCTCCGAGATAGAAAGAAAGGCAGCAGCGTGAGACGAAGAAAGAAAAAAGAAGAGGAAGAGAGAGAGAGAGAGAGAGAGAGAGAGAGAGGATGAGAGGGTGGGAAGGAGGGAGCCAAGGGTCGGTCGACCGGCTGCGCGATCCGGAGCCGAGTATCAGTCAGGCTCGAGACACCCGCGCGAACGGAGCAAGAAGGAGAGAGAAAGAGAGATAAAGATAGAGAGAGAGAGAAAGAGAGAGAGAGAAGGACAGCTAGAGAGAAAAAGAGAGAGAGAGAGAGAGAGGACGACGGTGGTTTGGCTGCTTCCCCTTTTTCGGTACGTTCTCCCGATGCGCCCCCTCTTCCAGCGGCCTCTACTACCCACTCAGGCGAAGTAGTAATCTACCCGGTTGTCTCGGCGTAGTGTCGCGCGGAGTGTCGTACGGGATACGTGCAGGAGAGAGAGAGAGCGGCTCGCTGGTGTTGTTATCCGACGTTATCACAACACCCCCGTACATTGCCCCTCCTCCTCCACCTTGTGCTTCTCTTCTTCGCCGTCTAATCTTGTGTACCTTCGTCATCTGCGAGTGAACCACGGACAGTTTGGCAGGGACAGGTCGGCGACGACGAGGAAGCGAGCTACTCCGAGCAACAGAGAGTGAGTACACCTTTATCTATTACGAATTTACTCCGTTTTTTCGACCTCGAAAACACACGTTGCCACCTCTGGCGTAATACTTCCGCGAGGGAATCCCTTCCCAGCGTGGCCTCCTCTCGTCGTGGCCCCAGACGTCGGCATCGATCTCCTCCTCGTACCACGCCATCGCCGCCGCCGCCGCCGACAACCGAGCCCTCCGCCCTTCCAGCGACCGCTCGCCCTTCCGGCTCTCGCCCTCTGCCTCTCGCCCTCTGCCTCTCTCTCTCTTTCTCCTCTCGCGATTTTGCGTCGAACGCGAATTCGCGAGATGCTCCTTTGAATATCCTTGCAGATGTCACTCGGGGGATGAATACTATCCCATACAGCACAGAGCATTGCAGTAATATTGCGCCAATATTGCAATGTTGCTGCAACGTTACAACAATATTAATAATATTCTGCTGTATGAGATCGACCGACTAAAAATATAATCGATTGATGAGGACCGGAGGACATGTGCGTGTCTGAGGGTATCCCGGTTTTTCGGCAGTCGTCGGAGACTCGGCGAAAAGCGTTGAATATAGGCCTCGAAAGGGAACTCGTCACGCCCTACGTAGTCTGTGACCTTCATTTGCTCGGCCTGACACTTGCTAGCTCGAGCTTGAAATTCGTACAAAACATTATACATCAGTCTTTTCGAATATCGAATATTTTGAACTTGCATGCGTAAAACGAGATTTTAATTAACGAAAGGAATAAATATATTCGTAGCATATTTCGAATACGCAGTTTGCTGGGCATATATACATCCAATCAAAGGTTAGGTTATCAAATATTTATGTGAAAAAGGAATCGTTCGAATATGATGAATATAGAGGAATATATTCTGCAATCTTAAATGAAATATTTTGTCAAAAAAGAGCGAGACTTTTAAAAATAATGATTTTAATTTTAGTTATTGCCGGATTGCACGACAGTATGTCGCTATATGCGATGTATCATGACATTGTTTACCCTTTGAAATATCTATGCAGTATATTAGCGTTCAATATGATTCGTGTATCCTAATAATTATTCTACAAGATAGAATGTAATATAGAATGAAATCGACTATCTCAAAATTATTACTCGATGATAAGCGTTTACTTTTTCATTAAAATAACACATTACCTACAAAAATGGAAATTTATATATAATATTAATGGTATATATTTATACTTTTGATAATCTCGTATTAACAATAATGACAAATAACAATAACAAAAATTTGTCAAAGTATCGAGATAAGATGAGAGAGCGAAATCTCGTTAATCTCACGATCTCACGAATTTCCCCGAGAGATCGCGTACTAGGAGAACGAAATGTAGACCCGTATATACATATAATGTCGAAGTAGATTCGTGTCAGGTGATTAATATGGCACTGTGTTTGTAAATATAGTGGTGCGAATGAAAAACTAGCCACGCACGTAGTGCGTGAGATACTACGACAAGTAGAAACTCTTGGTATAAGAAGCTCTCCTTCTCTCCTTCGGTGTCGGCATAGAATTGTTTATGATGCTATAACAGTGTTGAGAGTACTTGTACACGAAAACACATTTCGAGGGGAATTTTATTAGACGCTTCTATTCGAATTGCGCGACCGAAGGATAAATCTCTCTCACGCGGCGCGTTTCTTGCATACAGTATTCTAAAGTATAATATTACCTTCATATAATAAATAAAATATTCCATTTAAAATTACGGATTACTATATGTTATTTTTTCTTCTATCGTATAGGAAATTATAAAGATATAGTAATTAATTATGAATTTTTCGATAGAAAAAGAATCGACTTTAAACGAAACATGAAGATAAACTTTAAAATATTATACGCGAAAATACTTCGATGAAAGATGTGTTTAAAGAATCTCATTATAAAATATACCATTAATATAGTTTAATTAAAAATTTAAAAAAATAATAGTATATTTTGCATATATAATACATATATAGTTACATATATATTTTATTATATATATAATCTATATAAAAAATATATGAAGTGAAATAAAATTGAACGATATGCTGAAATAATTAATTTATATAAATAGTTTATAATAAATAATGAATCTACGGATGTAAATTAATCGTTAAAAAATATATGTATGCACTGAAATAAAATTTAATGATAGATTTAAAGTAACAGGTATCAATTAATCGCAATCGAGTTCAAAATGATCGAATATTATGCTCGCGCAACCGAAAGTACGCAATGAATCGATTTCCATAACAGATAGCTCGGTGCGACAGTTAATTTTTCTTCGTTATCAGAAAAACTCTCTTTTGCGTTTTGTTCCATCGTTATTCACGCCTTAGATACCGTACTTGCGCGTTACTCTGATTCAACCAATCGAGCTGCTTAACATCATTCGTTGTTCCAGTCCCTCAGATCCGTTAATTATATCTCGTCTCGTTGAATAAAATATATCTTCTCCGGTCTCTCTCTCCCTTTCTCCATCTTTCATTTAGAAATTAGATATCTCTTGTTAATATCTCACGAAATAATCTCACGAAACTTTGAATCATTTAAATCCTGGAATTCGTTTACACACAACTCGAATCGAAAGAACGTAGATCAAGTTGTTCTGCATGAAATATGGACGTTTCAAGCATATATTTTTCTTAATTTGAAATTAGTCAACGTTTACCATGTATGCATTGGTCAACTAAATCTATTTTCAAACGAAAAAGCAATCTGCATGCAGGTAATGTCGGCAAAAATGCGTGTGGATCGCGTGCAAAAGCGCACCTTTCTCGAACGGGGGACGATCAATGTCGAAGAAATTCGACCTGAATTAGCACCTCGATTCGCCTCGATTCGACATCGATCTCGGGATCTCTCGCAGTCTCGCGACCTCGTCGAAAGCGAGTCACCTTTATCGAATCTTCGTCCCAGTTACTTTCGTACGGCTTCTCCCGTCGACACTTGGCGTCGCGATGCGATGCCATCGGGGAATCGCCGCGAGTCTTTCTTCTCGATGGACGTGATTTACATGCGGTCGCCCGACAACCGCAAATAACGACCTGCCCTGTCGTCTCGCGGTTTCTCCATCGGGAATAAAGTCCGGTTCCTCTCGATCTTCTGACGTACCTCGAGGAAAGGTCGGTGCGCGAAAAATTTCGAATTTTGGCGGAAAGCTAATCTTCATTACCTCTTGCTTGTTCGCCTAATGAGTCTACTTATATCTAAGAGTTCAATCAAGGGAATTATATAATTCTTTGCATTTTGACAGTAGAAGGTACTTCAAGCGCGACTTCTCTCTCTGATGACTTGTATTCAATGATAATATATATATTTAATTTTTTACATCCTTTATTATCTCTCTCTCTTTTAACATTGCATATGTCGACCTTGCCGGCGACCCTTTACCTCGGTGAAATTCGCTTACTGCGCGTGCTGAAAACGTGCGCTTCGTCTGGCCGGCTATGCCTTGCGACTGTGTCCGATCCCGTGGCATCGTATATATGCACGGGCTCGCTCGTGTGCTTTTCTCTTTTGCGAGTCCGTCCCGAGAAGCATCTACCTACCTACCTACCTACCTATCTACCTACCTACCTACCTACCTACCTTCGAGGATCCGCGCCGCGCTCTGCACGGCTCCATCGCCGAACGTGACCGGTCGGAGAGAAAACGTTGCGGTCCGCGTTCGGAATCTTTAACGCGTCGCGTCGCTATTTCTAAAGCCAGCCAGTTGGAATCCCGCGCGCTACATTCCGCTACGCAAGCCGGCTCTCTTTCTGAATCCGGTTAACCCTTTCCGCTTGATTTCGCATTGCGTTGCGTCGTCGAGGAGAAGGTTTTATCATCTTGCTTTGACGCTGGAATATGCGGGATAGACTTGAATATATTCGTGTTTATCCGGCTCTCTTTCTCCGTCTCCCTCTATTGAGGTCGTCAGAGATTCATTTCCTCTCATCAGCTTCTCTCTTGTAATTTACTTCACCGATTTTCCAGATTCATCTCGATCGGTTCCCTTGTTGTTCTCCTCGCGCGTAGGGGGCGAATTTAACTTTATCCGCGTAAATGGTCGATGATACCCGCGAGCAATTGCGAATAATACGGCTGTTTACCAACAGGCCCCCGCGAGAAGCGAGCAGACAACTCTCTCGTTGACTTTCAATCATGTCCGAGGACAAAAGTCGCGTCGAGATTAACGAGTGTTGCGCTCGGAAACAAATTGGAAGACTCCCACCCTCGTTAATTAGCAAGAGACGAATTATTATTCACGGCTCGCTTTAGAGACACGGGTATTCATGCGGATGCACTTTCATTTTCTACGGCGAGAGTCCGAGGAGACCCGTCAGAGAGATGTCAAAGAGCTCGGCATCGACGTGATGTAAAGAGAGAAAGAGAGAGAGAGAGAAAGCGTGAAGAGGGTAAAGCAGGGAGAGAGAGGAAAGGGAGGGCAAGAATTCCCGAACACACAGAGCCTCTTTTGTCCCAAGTTCTGACGCGGAAAGGCCGTCGACCCAAAAGTCCTCGTCGAATTTCCAACAACGATACCGAGATGCAAGATGCGCATCAGACGCATCCTCGGCGCGTAAACGCCCGCATTAATTTCACGCGCGACAATTATAGATGCATTCGCGCGCATCGCGGAACCGAGCACGACTGACATTAGCGAGGGCATCCGTTCCCACAATCGACCGAAATAATACGATGTGTAAGGGCCTGCATGCAGTCGTATACAGGGTGTCCCTTTAACACAGGTCTCTTGACCGATTTTTTTCTTAACGATAAAGTCGAGATGGTTTGATGATTTTGATATCCTATTTAATAATAAGAATATAATATAGATATTTATTTAAAAGGAACAATAAGTAATATTGATATAATTCGCATATTGATAGATATATATTTAAATTTCTTTCCCCTCGTGGAAATTATATGAAAAATATGTTGAAATGAAATTGTTGTATTTGAATGAAACTTTTTTTTGTACGCATTTCTGTCGTGTTTTGTTTGCAATTTTTTCATT